TATCCATTTTTTTTTTTTTTTTGGTACCGGGGATCGAACTTGGGACCTTGCACTTGCCAGGCAGGTGGTGGAACCACTGAGTGAAATCTCCGGCCCTATCCCATTCTATCCTTCAGTAGACCAATTAAATATATAGAGAGCTTTACTTTGTGCTCCTTACTAACATACTCTTTCAAACTTTCTTTTTATCACCTACATTTCTGGATATTTTGGTATATATTTCATTTTATTAATTCTCGCTTCACCTGTGTCTTAGGCTGCTAGACCCATTTATTAAAAATCCAATTTTGGGCAGAAAGGAAAGACAGGAACTAGAGAATTATAAAACAAAAAAAATAGCAATATTAACATTTGATTTACAATTATAAAGAAAACTCATTCCTGTGCTTATGTTTCCTGCAAATCTTTTGTACAGCTCCAACAGCAAACTATGAGGCAGGAACTTAAGTGCAGAGATCTTGTTTCAGGTATGATTTCAAGAAATACTGGCTTAAAGTGGAAAAGGAGACAGACAAGAAAGGCAAGAAAAGCTCATTAAGCAAGTGACCACTGTGAGCAACTGCAATCCTTTCAACAAACTCTGCAAAAACTCTCCAAAAGAATGCATAAGCATCATCCATTTGGGGGTTACCAGACTCACTAGCCCTGATCACTAGGACTCAAAGAACTCCCTGCAAAGACACTTCACTCATAGTTACGGTTTACTGCGGCAAAGTAATATAGAGTAAAAGTCAGCTGAGGGAAGAAACGCACAGGACAACAGGAGCCCAGGAAAGTAATAAGTGGGGAGCTTCCGGTTCTCCACTGTCCTGGTGTCAGACTAGCACTGATCAGGACAATGTACAGAGTCCTCTTAACCAAGGCCACTCACCTGAGCACAAGGACGCAGCCTTCACTCGAGCTCCATCACATGGGCACAGTGGCTGCTGACATGCCAAGGTGATACTGCTTGATTCAAAAGCTTCACCCTAAATGACAGTTACCATCTAACTTGACCAGTTTCCCAGGCAAATAAAGATTGATCAAGTATGACATTCTGAGCAGGCATGTCCAAAGCGGCCCGATTTTAAAAAGTCACAAAACATACATTACCACCCAGAAACCAGGACCAGACCTCTTTTTGGACAGGATTAAAATTCTCTACTGTGCTGTGAATTACTGGGTAAGCTCTGAACATTCTTATTTTACTGAGCTTACCTGTTGCATTATGCTATGGGTGAAATAGAACTAGGGGGAAATTTTTGTAATTAATATGTTTTCAATATTTCCAAACTTTGATAAATATTTGGAAAAAAATAATTTGATATTTGAAACCAAACCAAGAGCCACAGTTCAGTCTTATTCCACATCATCAGTACGGTTTCTCCCACACCAGCCTTCACTGCTATGGGAACCTGCCCTATGTGTGCACGATGCTACTCGGGCCAACCAAGCCATGCACAGCAGATGAGTTTATTCCTCTGCATGACAATCACTTTATGAAAAAAGGCAGCAAAATTAGCTTCCTAAAAGTAGCTTAAAATCTGGAGACTATTATTTAAGCATAAACTGTTGGTATTTCTAAGTTGTCCTACTACAAATCTTCTACATACTGTGACTACTGATGGATCTGTTTGAATATAAAAGTGTAATGTACAATCATTCTTTTCTTTAAAAGCACAGAAGCCTCTAACAATTTAATATTTGTTTTTTTTAGATGTCAGAATGCCCTCTGCTGTGTACTTCATAGTACAGTCTTCCAATGGTTCGACTTTACCGTGCTAAGAAATTTGAATTTTGGTCTTTTCCTGGTTTAGTCACATGCAGTGCTCCACAGTCTTGTCAGAGACAACAAGCCACTCTCTCAGGTAGCCATGCGATCATGAGGGCAAACAACAAATATGCCAGCATGCCGTGGTAGTGAGCTATGACGTGTGGCAAGCTCAGCATGTTTCACATACAGTATCTTCAACTTAAAATCAGTTTATCTGATGTAACCCCATCAGAAGTCGAGAGCCATCTGTATATCCAAACAGGTGTAGATTTAGAGTACATATGTTTTAAAATTTTATTAGTACAGTACATGTGTGAAGTACATTCACCTTTGGGAGTAGGAACATGTAAATAACATATCTTGATTGTTCTTCAATTCCCTTCCTATCCCTACCCACCTCTTTCCTTCTCTAAATCACCTTTCCACATTTTTATTATTATTCTTAGCTCATGTTCACAATGTATGATGTTTACATTCATTGTGGGTATTTGGTACATGTACACGACACATCTTTAATCTTTTTGCTTCCCCTTCCCCTTGCCCTGGATCTCCTGGTCTCCTTCCCATTTGCAAAGATCTACTTCCCTGTTTCCTTCTATCAATCCTTTATTTCTCTCTTTATGTATTTGTACTCTGCCTTATTCAAAGGAGAGACATATAGTTTTCAAGCTTCTGTGTCTGATTTAGTTCACCTAGCATTATATTTCCCAGGTGTATCCATTTTTCTGCAAATGTCTCAAATTTATCCTTCATTTTAGCCAAGTAAAACTGCATTATGTACAGACAGAAGTTTCTTTATCCTAATCCAGAATTTTAAATTTAAATAACATTAAAGAGAAATAAAGAGCTAACAAACTTTTTATAATAAGGGCATAAAACACATTAGATATTAGTTAAAATTTTCTACCTTAAAATCCTGGAAGAGGACATTTTTTTTTTCCTGAAAGATGCAATCACACTGTTTTAAAATAAATGTCACAAGAAATAAGACTATTAAGCATATTTTAATCTATAACATCATATCATAATATAATGAACATAAGAATATTTACAGGTATAATTTCTAAAAAAGGTAAATTTAATTTTCTGAACATTTAGATACATTAAAGCTTTTAAAGAAATGCCCATATAAAAATTAAATGCATAAATACTAAAATGTCTTACAAAGAACCATAAATACAAACCCTGAAAACTTGACTGCATTTTCTCATTCCTTATTATATAACAGGAAATTCCTAACATCTACTCTTGCTTGTCAAGCAGCCATATCCCAGGCAGAGATTTTTGGATTAGCTGTTCTTAAGGATGTCCTGCCCTCCAGTGGTATGTGCTGTAATATTTTCGGTGCACCCTTCAACACTGCGGAGAGGGGCCACGTCCCTTCCACATGCACATTTCCAAGGTACGTCACACTGTACAGCAGCATCGGATCTTTCTTTCATCACAGGCTCTCTCTCAGTTTGTACCCCTGTGTCACATTTTACAACCTGCAGAATGCAGTTACTAGCTTTGCTTTTTAATGCATGTGCTGACTCGCACTGAGATTGTAGAAATTGATCAGTGGTATTTTTTACTGAACACTGGGATAATTTCTCACTCTGTTTGTGAAATTGGGCATTGCTGTTAACAATGCTATTATCTGAAAGTTCTGTCATCCTTTCTAGGTGAAAATTATTATTTGTTTCTGTGGTTTTGGTGGATATCTCATTTGAGTCTTCAATGTGGTCTTGAGTCAATATTTGGTCTTCATCTTCAGATGGCTAAAGAAATTAAATAATTTTATTGTAAATAATCTTACATTTTAAAAAATCATTCACTTCAAAACAGATATCCTTAAAATCCACATTATAAAAACTGCTAAATTTAAGAGAGACTTTGGCTGGTAATGATTTAAAGTAGATGTACTATTACAAAGTCTTCAATCTGTCATTCCTCTCAGCAGGTTATGAATTTTAAAATAGCAATAATAATAATAATGATCTTTGTAACAAAAATGTAAAAGAGCTATAAAAGAAGAAGAATCTTGTCTCTTCTTAGTACCTGTCTCATAGGCAGCATCATGGTACTAACCTTTCACAAAGAAATGACAGGCCACACATGCTTCAATCACTTAAAAACAGTAGACAGATGTAAGATCTCTGATGGGAAACTAATACATGGGATTTTTATTATTCATTTATTCACCCATTAAGTAAAAAATAGCTATGATGTACCTTTCATTGGCCCAGTCCATTAAAGATACAGTACATCCTAAGGAAATAACTATCTGCTGATAACTGTTATCTAAAAAAGATGAACTTCACCTTTTCAAAGGTATAGACTTCATTGTGCTAAGATGAATTTTTCAACTTCATGAAACTCTATCTTCTGTTAAGACTAATAAAACTATGTTTGCCAAAATATTAAAAAGTATTGGCTATTCAAGATAAAAATGGGAAGGGGTGTTAATGTTTAAAAAAAAAACCGAAATGATAGGCCTTAGGTGATCAACAATGAAATAGCAAAAGCCCAAGAAATAGCATCAAAACTGAACACAAATTACAGAAAGCAATAAACATATTTATTTAATAAATGGCATCTGAAATGTGAGTAAAAGAAAAAGGTCACTGTTCTTGTGGACACACATAATGGGTGAAAATGAAATCAGTCAAATGCTCTTACACATAAACAAGTAACTACAAACTGACAAAAGCATTATGAAGAACAAGTATGGGGCACTTTAAAAACAAAACTGAGGCACCTAAGTGAGGTTACAGGGATTTTTGGAACAGAAGACATATGTAATCTAAGCTCTAAAGGATGCACAAGGAGTAAAGTTGAGGAAACAATGTATAAAAACCCTGAAGCAGAAAATAAACAAACTACAGAAAATGAAAGGTCAAAGAGTGTGGACCAGGAAAGGGAGAGTAGAAGAAATTGAAGATGTTAGCCAAGAGCAGATTACACAGGGCCCAGCCACTGTCAAGAGTTCAGGTGTTAAGAGTAAAATAGGATTCCTCTGGGGGGTACAGTGACCCCCTGCCTGCAATGCCAGCCACTCGGGAGGCTACGCTTCAAGGCTACTTAGTGATACTCTGCCACAAAATAAAAGGGGCTGGGGATTGGCTCAGTGTGAAAGGACTGGGTTCAGTCATCAGAGGGGACAGAAAGATACGGGAGAAAGGCTCCATTGAACATTTATATGAGGGAGTAACATGATTCAATTTATGTTTTCAAAGAAAATTGTGTCTGTTAACTAGAGAAGAAAACGGGGCAAGAAAAATAAAGAGAACTCTTACAAAACAATCACAACACTTTAAGAACAAGATGACTGCAACTCAGAGAGGGTACTGGCACCACAAGCTGCAATTTATTTTAGGGGCAGAACTGAATGACACATGAAGTAATAATGTGGTTGGGGGAAGCAGGCGAGACAAAGAAAGAAATGACGATGTTAACTACTGTACTAAGTTTTTGACAAGAATACTTGGACAGACAGATATGAGAAATATAAAAACTGATTTAGGGGGAAAACAGTGAAGTTTTTCAGCGTGAAGTATGAAGTGATGAAGGTATCTGTGAAACAGCTAAGAAGACAGGTGCTACTGAAATTGAACACTGAAGTGAGGATCAGGACTCAAGTCATTCTGCTAGGAACGGCCGTCACACAGGTGGTAAGTCAAGTCACTGGAGAGTGTAACACCACTGCTAGCTTAGAGGATGCATTACCAGGAAAAGGTCCTGTTTCAAACCAACACAGTTACACAATGGAAAGACAGAAGGGAAGTGGGAAAGGCATAAAATAGAATTCACACAGGCATCCAGGGAAACCAAGACAGTGTGTAACTATAGAAGAAAATAGTAAAAAATGTTCTAAAAAAGAGAACACTTTCTACTCATACTAGGAGTTCTTATAAAGACCGAAAGGTATTTAGTGAATTTGCCAACACAGAAATCAGTGGTGTTGTTCATTGGCAGGAGTAATTTGGATGACAAAATACAGATAAAAGGTAGAAGGAATGAATATGGATGAGTAAAGAGAGGGAAATTCCATTTAAATCTGTAATTTATTAGAAACACAGCATTCCTTCTCAAAATATGGCATTTCAATTATTTGCAATTTAGTCATTAATAACATTATACAGTTTTCATCTCATATGCCTTGAGACTTTCTATTTGAATGCATTTTATTTTTCCAAATATTAAAAGTCCTTTAAAAAAATTTTTACAAGGAATAGCATATCTACAATATATAGATATTAACTACACTTTATATATTGTCTATATTTATACATATATGTGTATATACAGTATTCATAAGTAGCTTGGTAAAACTTGTGATTGATGCATTCATCATTTTTATCAATGTCAATGAATAATGTTCAGTCACATTTTTGTTTATATTTTGTTTTTTCATTTTAAATTATTTCTTATGCTTTTCTGTTATTTAAAAAATTATTTCCATTATTGATTCAAATATTTTTCATACTGTAAAAGTAAACTGTAATTAAAAACAAAGAACTCCAAAGTAATACACATGTATTAATAAATAAAAAAGCATAACTTACCATCTCAGAACTAGAACTGAAACAACTCTCTGTAGGTCTTGGAGAGTAACTGGTACACTGACTGCCCTGTGAAGAATCAAGACCTGAAACAAAGGTTTAATTATGAAGAATGGCATTTATTAATACTCTTTTAAACATACAGAGGCAGAAAATATCTAGCTGTAAATACATATTTAGCTTATAAAACACCACCATTGAAAAACATGCCAAAATTCATTAAAATTGGATCGTTGGCACCTTGCATTTCTAACATAATACAGGAATTTATTTTACATTTCTAAGATGGATGAATACCAGAGAAGAGAATGGGGAAAACTGCATTGATTTTTCCAATATATGAACCATTTCTATGAACAAATAATTTAACGTGTCAACTTGCAGCAAAGAAGACAAAGCCTAGTTCATTTAGTCCCAAAGATGTTTGCTAATTGAGCAAATGATTCACTCTGCAATCAAAACTATGAAAAAAAATCTATTCAAACCATCCAATACTATATCCTTTGATTATCTGCTTAACACATCATCTTAGGATTTAAAAGTTTAAAACTGGACTGGAAAGTAGACCATGACCCCCTAGCACATCTTGTCTCCTTGAGGCTAAATCCCTGGCCCTCCTAAGGGTTATTTTAATATTAGCAATAAAGATACCTACCATAAAAATTTTACAAGCATCAATGAATGAATCAAACTTAAAAAAAAAAACAAAACAGCAGAAAATGAGAAGACATGAAAGCAAGATGCGACCCCAGACTTTTTGCTTGCCAAAGGCAAACTCGGTACAAAAAGGTTGTACACTTTGAAAGCAACCCACCTAGTTTCTGTGAAGTCACAGAGGAAATAAATGAAACTGTAGAAAAAATCCAATCAAACAATTCTCAGATAACTTAAGAGATGATGACCATAATGAAGATCATGATTAGTGAATCCAGAGAAGATACAGATTTTAAAAACAGACGAGCTAAGGAAAATGATAGAAACACCGAATGCCCAACATAGGAAAGAGATGGAATCTATGCAGGATGCAACCATGAATCCAGGAGATGAAAAATTCTGTTGAAAGTTTACCCAACAAACAGAACTAATGTGAGGACAGAATATCAGATCTAGAAAACAAGATTGTGATAGCAATATGAAAAGAAAGATGAAGGCAGGATGGGTAGGGGAAGGGAAATAAGGGAAAAGAAAAAAATGTGAGATAATGAAAATGAAAATAAATAAAGATGAAGGCAGGATGGGTAGGGGAAGGGAAATAAGGGAAAAGAAAAAAATGTGAGATAATGAAAAGATGAAAATAAAGTGTTTGTAGATGGGGAGGGGAGGAGGGGGTGAAGGGAGGGCAGGGGTAAGGGGAAAAAATGAGAACCAAGACTTGTCATGTAGAGGTACAAGATCCCAACAATGAATGTAACTGAACTGTATCCCTAAAATGTACCAATAAACTCAATCAAAGCAAAAAAACAAAAAACAACAAAACAAAACAAAACAAAAAAAAAAAAGCAAGGGACCATGAAAAATCAATCCAACAGCTAACAGATGATGGAAAGAACAACATCAGCTTGGTCAGAGTCAACGAAAAAGCAAGAGCTAGCACAAATGACATAAAAGACCTGTTCACAAAAGTAGTGCAGAAAACATCCAAGAATGAAAAATGAATTGTATATACAGATAAGCCAGGCATATAAAACTTCAATTAGTGATGGGGATTTAGCTCAGTGGTTCTGCTGCCACCCTGCAAGCTCAAGGATGCAAGTTTGATCCCCAATACCAAAACAAACAAAACAAAACAAAACAAAAAAACTTTAAGCTAGGCATGGTGGTGCACACCTGTAATTCCAGCACTCGGGAGGCTGAGGCAGGAGGACTGCTGTCAGTTCAAGACCAGCCTGGGCTACCTAGCATGTTCCAGGTCAGTCTCAACTACATAGAGAGACCTTGTCTCAAACAAACAAACAAACACACACCAACTTCAATTAGCCATGATATTAAAAAAAAAAAAAAATCTATGCCAAGGCATATAACAGCCAGATTTCCAGAAATTCAACACAAGAACGCAATATTAAAAGCTGTTAAGAATAAAGAAATAAATCACTTATAAAGGAGAGTCCATCAGAATTATACGGAACTTCTCAACACCAACCCTTCAGTCAAGGAGAGCTTGGAGTGAATGAAGTATTTCAAGCCCTAAAAGAAAACAAACTCCAACCTAGATTGATGTACCATGCAAAACTATCTTTTAAAATTAATAGAGAAATAAGATACTTCTATGATAAAGAACACCTGAAGAAATGTATAACTACAAAATTACCACTCCAAAATGTCCTGAAGGACATTTTTTTATACTAGCAAAGATGATTGACTGAGCTCCACAAAGGAAATATGACACTATTCCACAGCAAAACTAACTCTGGTTCTCATGGAGGAAACGCAGATTAACAATACACTTCCCATAAGGCCTGGTTAGTACTGCTAACTGCATTAGATGTGGGCAGTTTCCTCTGATCTTAAATTAAGATTTTTCTAAAGTAATTCTGGTATTTCAATTAAAGGTTAAGAGTAAAATTCACAGATTTATAAAATATGTGATCACTGCTTAAAAAATTAATTGTTGTTGGATAGCCACCATTTTTGGAAGTGATTTCAATAGTCCATGCCGTGTTTTATAAATATACATCTAAAAGCTTTATCCCCATTCAATAAAGTATCTTCTTTTCAAAAATCAAAATGTCCTAAAAATCAAAATTATAAGATGCTGCAAATGAGACAAAAATATTTTAAAATTAATAAATATTAAAGTGAAAATATTTTGATCCCCAGTACCCCCCCAAATACTGCTACTAATAAAGTGAAAATATAAATCCCTTCATCGAACTATAATGGATACTTACTGATCTCTTACAAAACAAGTACTTTTTAAAAAAAAACATACAAAAAAAAAACAAACAACCCCAAAACAAAACCCATACAGTACTGAAAAAAAGATATGCCTGGAAAGTCTATAAACTTTCTTCCCTTTAAAAACCTTTTTAGTGGGAAGGGTAGGGGAAAGGTAATAAGGAAAAAGACAAAAATATGAGAAAATGAAGAAATGGAAATGAAGTTTGTAAAGGGGGAGGGGAATACGGGGTGAAGGGAGGGCAGGGACAAGGGGAAAAAATGAGAACCAAGACCTGTCATGTAACGGTACAAGATCCCTATAATGAATGTACCTGTACTGTATACCTAAAATGTACCAATAAACTCAATAAGGGGGAAAAAAAAACACCAAAAATAAAAAAATAAAAACCTTTTAAAATATTTTGAAGAGTATCTTCCTTAAAAACCTATCACACCCATCACATTTACCATAACTGTCATTGCTTTTCTATAAAAACTTAGAAATCAATGTTAATTTAGATTAAAAATTTTAATTCTAGCACAATTAAAAATGAAAAAAAAGAGAATTTGATCCCTAATACTTAAAACTGAATATTTATTGTAATTATTACTTTCAATTAATTATTAATGTTTCTTTCTTACAACTAGATTATCCATTTAGGACTACCACAATGATTAACAAAACTTCTAAGCTAGATTCAATTACATATTAGCTGGTTTTCCACTTTCTGAAAATATTTTAAGTACACTCTCTTTTGGCTTCCTCCAAAATTTTCAAGGGAGGGCTGGGGATTTAGCTCAGTGGTTCCACTGCCTGCCTTGCAAGTGCTAAGACCCGAGTTCGATCCCTGATACAAAAAAAAAAAAACCAAGGGATAACCAAGATCCAATTAGAGAATGCTCACGTCACCTAAAATCCATGGCTTACATTCCATTTATGTCAGTAGCTTCATAGGCAAGTGCATCATTTTCTTTGTGCAAAATCTCAAATTCAAAATAAAACTAGGGCAAAAATGCTGAAATATTTTCACCACTGCGGGATAGGCAGATTACTTCGTTTTGTTTTGTCTGATTTTCTCAGAGTCTGGCTAGGTAGTTCAGGCTGGCCTTTTGAGTCGGGGCAATCTTCAGCCTCCCCAGCGCTAGGATGTGTGTGCACCACACACCTGGCTCTACCGTATTTATCATTCCAAGGAGGCCTATTTTGCTGTGACCATACAGAAACTGACAACACACCATTACAGAAACACAGATTCACAGGAATCAGAGCGAAGCCCGTGGAGCTACATCCAAGTGGAAGCTGATGTCATCCAACACTTCATCGCTAAATGAATGGAGGGCAAGGGGGAGCAAGGGACCAGGACCCACGTTGACCAATCCCCCGTTACACTCCCGATGCTCTCCATGCACTCTGGAGACGGCACGGGCGCATCCTGTTCTCCTTCTCCCAGGGGTCACAGTGACAGTCCCGACTGAGCAGTGCAGTGTGGGACACCTTGCGCTCAGCAGCATCCCGCGTCCCAGGTCGCCTCTGCTCACAGCCTTCAGTGGTAGTGGCTGAGCACCAGCACTGCAGGGCGGGCCTGGCCTCGGGGCTTCAGGGCCACGCTGACCTCCGGAGGTTGGCTGAGCATGAGCGGCTTGTGGCTCTTCAGCTTGTGTGCCAAGGTCATAAAGATAGTCTCCACGTAGTCACTATCGTGGGGGTTCTTGGCAGAGGTCTCAAACAAAGGCATTCTGTGTATGTCAGCGAACTTCTTGGCCAGGTCCGTGGGCACCTGGATGGCGCTCTGCAAGTCCCACTTATTCCCCACGAGGATGCGCAGGATATCGCCAGCCAGCAAGTGCTGCTTGCACTCCTCAATCCAGGCCGGCAGGCTGTGGAAGCTAGCCATGTTGGTCACATCGTACACGAAGCCCACGGCGTGCACGTTGAGGCAGTAGTGCAGCACCATGCTCTTCCGGAAGTGCTCCTGGCCGGCTGTGTCCCACAGCTGGATCTTGATTCACTCCCTGTCGATGTACACTGCGCATTCTCGGAAATCTGCCCCGATAGCAGCCCGCGCAGAAGTGGTATGTCAGGCACGTCTTGCCCACGTTGGAGTCGCCGATGATCTTGAAGATGTGGGAGTGGGTTGAAGGCAGACACCCTGAAGCCGCCGACACCACGCAGCTGTTGGAGAAGCTGACCTCCAGAGATGACTCCATC